GCCGGGGAGGGCGCGCGGGAGGCCGGGCAAACGTAGTGGGCTGCATCGGGGGAGACGCACCATTAGACAAGGGAGAACCGTGGCTCGCTGTGCCGCTCGATCAGGTAGGAAACGCCGCCTCGCCTCTTTCGACACACCCGCCAACTTGGACGCGGCACCACGTGCTCCACTTTTGCATTTCGTCTCAAAATATACAACATATTCATAGCATTTATTTCATTTGGGGATGTTGACTTTGGCCCGTAAAATACAATGATCCACTTGGGAGCGGAAATATATTTCCCATAATTCTACCGCCAATACCGACAATAGATAAGTTCGATGTAATTAACAAAAAAAAATATATATATATAGTATCGTAAATGATTATTTTATTGATATGGTTTGATTGGAAAAACATAGTTCACAATCCTCGTTGTGAGGGAATAAAGCTGGGAAAATCAATGCGTAAATGATGTCATTAATTATGACGAAATTAAAAGCAAGTGCAAAATCAATCCGCGCTGCTGTCGAGCATGTGGGCTCAAACTGAAAGGCAAACATCACGTGAGGTGTTTGTGTGTTGTTGTTCTTGCTTCCGCTGCTTTGACGGGGTGGAACTTCAGCCTGAACATTATGACGCAAAAAAATAAAAAATAAATAAAAACGATGATCAAGATTTGAACTTCGAACAACCAAATTACTGACATCCAACCAAAATATTGGGAACACCTCCCAGGATAATCAATCAATAGCTATAGAGGGTTATTGATTATAATTATCGGTGAAAAAATGCGCGTTTCGCGCAGGTGTGCCTTGACGTTTTGGCCCGCGTGAAATTTGCAGCGTGGACGTGAACGGGTGGTCCCGGCAGAGAGATAATTTTTTTTTTAAAAATAAAGGAGGAAAAAAAAAACGATCGATTGAGTTGAAATGTGCGTCACGGGTCACAGGTTTGTAAAAACGGAAGATTTGTTTGCTCTCCCCTTTATTCGGCATCACAAATCGATATGGGGTGGGAGGGGGGCGGTTATGGGGGGGGGCGCTATTATCTAAATTTAGACGGTAAACGAATGAGATTTGTTAATGATCGACACGTTTGTTTTGGGTGTGGTTGGTGGATGGATGGATGGATGGATGAATGGATGGGGGGGTGGGAGTGAGGGCGGCCTGGCAGAAAAAGTCGGGGACGGGGGGTGTGTGATGGGGGGCGGGGGGCAGCTGCTTTAGGGCAAAAGTGCACTGACGTGTGAAATTACAGCCCATGGTGCTACATATTGTACCAGAAGCTCCCAACACCCCCCAACACTACACCCCCAAACCCCCACCCCAAAAAAGAAGAAACGAAAAAAAAAACATGACTACTGTATTATGATTATTTATATGATGTTACTACTGTTATTTAGAAACAAAAAGATGATAAGTTCATCTCGAAGATGCCTTATATTTAGTGAAATGCACCGAAATACAATCAAGTCAAAGGGTGTGAAATATATCCAATAAATGGACAAATAAATCACAACAAAAATGTAGTTAAGTAGTGTTAAGAAAACGACTGCTGCAGTTATTAGCATGATTATTAAGACTGTACCAGCCACAAATTTACAACAACAAAAATATAATATTAGAAGCTGCCACGCATCTTTATTCTTTTGGATTTTGACCCACCACGAGATTGACACTGTCTTATTGTTTTCTGATGTCTACTGTCGATGCGTCAGCATCACCAATTTGTGCTTTGATAGTCTGTTTTCAATTTTTGTAGTTGCATTACAATTTTTTTTTGGGTGGGGGGTGAAATATGCTCCACAAACAAACGTGACTTGTATTGTACAATACAAACACATCATGTATTGCAAATCATTTGCATTGTTTGGTTGTGAAATGATAAAACCAGACTTCAGATGAACAACTAAGCACAACCACGGATATGTCATACAAAAACAATAAATGGTGTGTATTGAAGCTGCTTCATTCTTACTTTCAAAGTAAATACAAAAACAAACTGATTCCATATTAATATGTACTATATATGGTATCAATGTAAGTACATCTAAAATACATAATTCCGAACAATGGGCTTTGTGTTTTGTAGTTTGACAAAAATAAAGATTATCTCCTAAGTACTATTACTCGTCTGTGTGTGACTTTGACTGCAACCTTTTTGTCTATCATTTCTCCTATTTTGATTATTTACTACGTCACGAGGCACACATGATCAAATCGAAGGTTATGAGTATATATATGACCACGTGCTTTTAAACACGCACACACACACACACACACACACACACACACACACACACACACACACACACACACGCACGCACGCACACACACGTGCTTTTAAACACGCACACACACACTCACGCACGCACGCACACACTTTTTTAACCCTTTGTTCTCCGAACGGATTGAGTCCGAGCGGAAGAGATTATGAAACGGGGGGGGGGGGGGGGGGAGGTGGGTTTTTCCCAC